GCCCAAGGTGGAGGGGAGAGTGTTTTCAACTGTTGCCCAAGGCCATAGGGTGACAGTTAAAACACTATCCCAAACACCCAGGGACAACTGTTTGATAGTTTCTTAATCACATGTGAAATTACTGTTTTATTGCCTGATCAATTACTGTTTTAACACTACTTGCAGAAGAAAAAGAAGACAAAGAAAATAGTTTTTAAATATGTACTAATGAAACTTTCTCAATTTAGCAATCTTTCAACTATGCCACGTCTTGTCTGGTTTATGATCATGATCGATGGACGATTCGAGGGGGAATCCTCTATGACGTTAGAGCACGCGAGGGAAACAGTCGAAACTATTGACCGGTCAACAGTTCACTTAGAAATTAAGAAAACAGTAATAAAAATACCAAATAACATCTATATAAGGTATCAGGTAATAATATACAGTTATTTCATATGAGATTTGAAAACCATCAAACTGTTGGCCCGAGGTGGATGGGGTAGTGTTTTGAACTTGAACTGTTGTCCAAGGCCGTAGGCCGAGGGCAACAGTTCAAAACACTATCACCGACACCGAGGGACAACTGTCTGACTGTTCCCAAATCACATATGAAATAACTTATTTATATCCTGATCAACTAATATTTTAATAGTAATTGCAGAAGAAAAAAGGAACAAGAAATAGTTTTGCACATATGTTAATAATTAAACTAAATAGTTTAATTATTTCACGTCACGTCTAGTTTATGAGCATGATCGATGGACACTTCAAGTGGGAATCATCTATGGCGTCAGAGCACGCGAGGGAAAGTCAAAACTATTGACCGGTCGTGCACGTTTAAAGATTTTCAGATCACAGTAAAAATAGCAAATTACATTTATATACGGTATCAGGTAATAATTACAGAAAATAAGCTCTATTTATAAACAAACGTTGAAAAAAACAGAATAATTATTACCTGTATATGGTTTCCCACCGGATGTTATGACTAACAAGTGAATTTAAAGCGGTATCTAGTGTTGTATTCAAAATGATATTTAAAATGAAATATAGTGAAACAGACAACTTACCGCCTATTTTAGAATGAATATTGTGAAATTTGTTCAAGACTATAAACTAGCACTTTCATGAACTAACATGCTACTAGTAATCGCCATGCCATAAACCCCGGCATTTGCATTATTCGGCATTTAAAACATTATTAATTTTTACCATGATATCAATTACTTCATGAGCATTTTGTAAAAAAATGCTGATTTCACTGAAAAGCCTCCTGTTACTAGATCAAATTGCTATGAAACTATAAAAAAGGCTTCAATACTGTTCAAACTTAGAACAAATGTTAACTGAACCATAGCCTTTGTAACCGCATACTCAATCTTACATTTCCTGTTACAATGGCAACGAAGGAAAATTGCAAGAAATCACTATTTTGCGTGGATTTTTCCATCAAAACTGATTTCAAAGTGCTAAATTGATTGTGATAGAGTCAAAGGCATTTCAGCGTTGGTTACACGTTACTTTAAGGTCGTCGTGGGGCCATTTGAGTCCTCACACGTCTAAATTTGTCTTGGATATGAGGGGGTCTCCTGACCCCCTTCAAACCCCCAAGCAGAAGGGGGCACATCTCCCTCTGGCACCCCTTTGATGAATCTATTTGACTGAGGTTGGCGCTGAAAAAGTAATTATTCTTTTAATACCATTTCTTAAAAAAAACAAGTCTTTGGGGTTTAAAAAAGGGCATTTTATTAACAATATGAGGCCTCAAAAGGGGAGGGGAAGGTGAAAAAAGACGTCTATTTAAAAGAAAAACTCAAGTGTTTGCATTTAAGGAAATGTAAATACATTGTATTTGTTTTGATAAAACATGTAGTAAATTAAAATATGCATGCATATCAGTGGTTTACATGTATGTTAGTAAGTACATGTATATTATTCCTTATCTTAATATAAAACATTGCAAAATGTGTAGCGGTTATATCTATGGTATGAAATAAATAAATAGACAGAATGTATGGCACAGATATTTTAATTATGTTGAACCAGCACGGGCCAATTGAAATTGTGTTGGTGTTGTTGCTGCTGCAGCTGCTTCTTTCCGTGTAAGCATAATTCAAGTTATAAATTTCTATCATTATATACTTGATGAAATCAAAACCACACCACCATTTGCAAATGCGACTACTATACATAAAATGTTCATTTAACAATACCTCAATTAACCACATGTACATTAGACAATAATATTCAAACCTCCATCGCTTATTTTGATAATTGCTTTACCCATGCGCGATATTGAGAACATAAACTTTACTGTTTACTGTAAGTTTCTCGGGTATTAGATTTAATATTTCATGAGCAATTTATAAAGCTATCATGTAATCATTCGTTATATTGGCTTTAACCCTTTACCTCATATATACGCGAAACAACGCACTTTCGACCCCCCCCCCCCATTTTTTAGGCCTGGAATAGTTAAAAAAATGCCCTATTTGGGCCCAAAACACATGTATTCGTTTGAGAAATGTTGCTAAAAAATGTGAGCACTTTTTCGGCGCCGCCCCCCATCCAAAAGATATATCAGGGGGTTGCCAGAAGGGGGATGTGCCCCCTTCTGTTTGGGGGGGTTGAAGGGGGCGGAGTCCCCCTCATCGCCAAGAAAATTTTGGACTTATGAGAGGCTAAAAATGACCCCAGGTTGATCATAAGGTAACGTGTAACCAACGCTGAAAAGCCTTTGACTCTATCTCAATCCCTTGAGAAGTTGCAGCACTTTGAAATAAATTTGGTCGAAAAAATCGAGGCAAAATAGTGATTTTTGGCAATTTTCAGATGTCCCCTCGTTGCCATGGTAACAGGAAATTTAAGACTGAGCATGTCATTACAAAGGCAATGGTCCAGTCAACATTTGTGACAAGTTTGATTAGTATTGAAGCATTTTTATAGTTTCATAGCAGTTTGAACTTGTAACAGGAGGCTTTTAAGTGAAAACGGCTATTTTTCACAATAATATTATGCTCATGAGGGAAAGGGTTAAGGTATTTCATCTATATTCTCAAAGGATATTCTTGGCGAATACAGACCTAACAGTGTGAAGAATTTATTTTCTGACTTTAAGATTCGAGGATATTATGTTTATTAAGTTGTATTGGTATTAATAGATTTGTATTTTAATAACTTTTGAAATCCGTATTTCGTTTACAATTAATGTATATAGAATGCTTGTAATATGTCCTTAAAATGAACCGTTCAACAATAGGCACATTTTCCATAAGTATTTCAAATATTGTTAAAACTATAGAAATCAAACAATTCTAGGTTTTGTCTAGTTATATGAACATAAGTATAGCAATGTAATATATTATATGTTGTAAACTGTCACAGTTGCTTGCAATAATGTTCTGTTTAAAGTAGGTTAATTTTATCTTTTTGTTTTTCAACTTTGAAACTTTAAGATATGTCCAGATACATCAAGTATTATTTGACTTTTCTAATTCATTTATTATTTATCTGTTGATCTACGTTGATCTACTGCATCATATAAAGTAAACTTTTAAGCTAGTACATGTAGCACATTATTGAATTGAAGTATTTTCTACACAACTGTAAAACATAAATCAAACAAGTTATCTCCCTTTATTCATGATTTAACTATGAGTACTTTAAATGTATAAATAAAAATCCATACAGTATAATAAATAAATATAAAAAGTTTCGTTTAACAAACCATTACAGTAATTGCTAACAATGATGATTGATCACTGGTCAAACATTTAAAGACCGCGAGAGGCGTTGCACTTTAATTTTAATTTGTATTTCATGTACAGACGTTTTCAAGACCAGTATGGTTATTTCAAATATCAAGTCTTCGATATTCCATTTATTATTTTGTATTCATAGCACTCTATTGGGTACCGCCTCCGTGGTCGAGGGGTTAGAGCCGATTACTTCTAATCCAGTTACCTCTCTTGCGTGGGTTCGATCCCCGGGAGATGCTTTGGTAGTTAAGCGCGGAGGAAGGTAGTCTTGTACTGGTGTAACTCTCCAGGAACGATGGTTAGGAAACTACCCGCCTATATGACTGAAATACTGTTGGGAAAAGACGTAAAATGAAACAAACAAACAAGCACTCTACTGGTCTTCGCTTTTCATATTTAGACATATAACTCTTATTAGAATGGTATCTTAATCATTTGATTAAGCCTATACACAACTGTTTGGAATAATGATTTTATTTATATTTCAATTTTTAGTGACACTATGTATACGAGGGTGATCATTGAATTCTATACTTGTTTTGTAGGAACAGGGACAATGAATTATAAAATAGCACGTGAAGTGTCGTCTTTATAAACGAAATTGCTAATAAACATCAGATAAATACATAATACTATAAAATTGAAAATCGTCGTAAGGTTTTAAGGCTATTCTACTATAACTTGTTCAGTTTGTTCAGAATTTCCCATCATATAGTCATTTGCTTCATTATAAACGTTTATTGTGACAGCATGGTAGTGTTGGTTTTCCCTATTGTCAACTGTTGACTGGTGTATTCTTTGCAATAGAAAAAGAAACCAAGTTACTAATAAGAATATCATATAAATTAGTCAAAATGGCCATTATTTTAAAGAAAGACACAGAAAAAATTTCATTTCTTCGTTTTGAATTTTACATTCAATATTCTTGAGTCAGGTTCGAGCGTTAAGAATTCACAATAGCTGTCACAGTTAACTCTAAAATCGTTAAATCGACACCGTATATGTCATATATCGACTTTCCAGTTTGCTATAGGAGGACGACGTCGCATTATATCAGGCTCAAACTTGAACCTGAGTAGAAACAACGATGTTCCCTTAGTTAATTGTATAGTTTTCTCACATGAAAGAATTCGAAGACGTTGGTGTGGATCGAACATACAACGGTGAGGGGCAAATGGTTAAAGTCAACGATCTAAAGGACTCTGCCACGGGAACACATATAATTTGAGAAACTGATTAGCAGGTTTAGGTATAATATATTTAATACACATAAATTAGAATGGCGCATACAAAAATGCTAAATCTCAAAAACAAATATCTTTCTGTAGATCTAAAGGTTTATTTTTCAAAAATTGAATATTCAAATATGGTATCAAAATAAAGGTACTCTCTTCATAAAACTAACTGTGCTCATTAATATCACATTGATGAGGGTCAGGAAGACATACAAGAAGAAAAAATGTGTTTTACAATTCCATATAAAACTACTCTCTAGTATAGGCTAACATGCCCTTGTCGTTACAGAAAATATACCATACAATAAAATTACGATTTAAAGTAGACCAAATAATTACATTCATCTTATAAAAGTCAAAATAATAAAAGATCATATACATTACACACAGAAAAAGAGACATGACCGAATAATTAAAATTGACAACACATATTGAGATTATTTCCCCTTTAATGTAATGATAATAAGTCATCATTTCGAAGTAAAAGATAATAAAACAAGTGAGCTAATTGTAAAAGGTTGCATTGTGTCTTTAGAAAACACAAGGGAAGATACTATAAATAAAAACATACACAATCCCAAGCAATCAGATACATTTTTATACGTATGCAATTTTACATAGATAGATAAAAATACATTGTATATTAAATATGTTTTATAAGATTTACTTTTAAACTAAGAAGTAACAAGTGCCAATGTACTCAAGTCATAGTTCTATTAAGCTTCACAGTTACCGAATGATGAGGAACAACACATTAAAAGCAAAATATCTTATTAATAAAAGTTTCTTTCTATCTCTTATACAATATTACTTTCTAAGATTTATTTGTGAACATCGAATGTTAAGGGCTTTTAATTAACAATTTAAATTTTCTAACAGTGAGTGTGGGATTAAATTACTTAGTAAAAACCATTATATGAGTAAATAAAAAATAGAAAGATTATCACCATGTGTAGCCCGTGTGTTACTTCAAACCTGTTTTCTAAGGCACATTCTTCATTAGCTTAAACACCTGACATTAAATGATTTCGTTGTTCTTATACAAGGAATATAATATGGCAAAGTTATCACATTTATTAAATGTTCATTCATAAATACACAGCTGCTAGTATGTACCGATATCTATATTGTAAATAACAGTAATTTAAAACAAAAGTTCTTGAGCTGATAAGATTGATAGAATCAACAAGAAGTCCTTGTTCACAATGGTTTGGTTTGTCCTTGTTGTTCGTGTAATTGCTTTGGCTATAATTACCTAAAATATAGAAAAGCTGCCATTATACGTTTGATAAGTAGTTGGTCAATTGCGAAGAAATTTGTAAATACATTATACTGGTGTGTTATCCAGGAAAACTGCCGGTTAAATCAACGTCCGCCAAGATATGACCAACATGTGTAAAATTCGGCATACAAAAAGAGAACAAAAACGAAGAAACAAATATCCAAATAAACAATAACAGGTACTTAAAAACGGATAAGTCTTTATAACAAAATGTATTCAGTGTATATGCAAACATCTATAAATGCACTAATTACATTAGTGAGATAATTCTTTACTCAAAAGATTTACTGTATCATTGCAGAAGTGTGGGTTTAATAATCATTAGTTATAAAGTTAATAAGTATCAAAATAAAAAATGAATAATACTAACAATTTGTTATTCTGCTCATTAGAAACCCGGTACGTGAGGTTCAGCACAGTTGCAAATGTTAACAGTGTCTACTTTCTCAAATTTATAATTGACGGTGTGGTCATGTCGTCTTCTTTTTCTGTTCAAACACTCCAATAAGCTCTCTACAGAAAATACAAATATTATTAACAACAAAATATCATTGTCAGCACATAATTGTAAAAAGGAATAATTGCCTATTTAAATGATTTTTTTTTTAACTTAAACAGGGGCAAGGGTTCATTATTTGCATTTTAACTCCTTTCTTCACTAGAATATTGCATTATTCTATGATTTTTTTAGACAAATTCTTTGCAACGACTTTACTTTTGACATGATGCAACGCTAACAAAATTTCCTGTTCACATTTTTCTGTACCCTAAAGAGGGCTATTCAGCAAAAACGTTGGCATATTAAAGTGATATTTTTTAATTTGCAGTAGACTACTTATTTTTTAGCAATAATTGTCTCTTATCTATGTTAATTGTACTTTGAAACTTAATGTTTGGGATCATTTTATACAGTCAAGTAAAGTTACTTGAAATGTTTAATAACTGTTTTCTTTTCTTAAACTCAATATTGAAAACATATGCATGGACTATGTTCTATTTCTAAGCATAGGTCCGTTATAGTTTACTTCCAGTTTAATTCAAAAGATTTTTCCGGGAGAAGGGCATTTTTGCAAAGCCATCAAAGGAGAATTAATTGGTCTGCCCCTGAAAGCGTGATATTAAAGCTTCCTTCGTTTCTTTTTCAAAAAGCATTCACTACTCCCGAAAACGGTTTAAAGCCTTTTAATCGATTACAGTATTCTGTGAGTCGTTTCACCTGCTGAATATTGCATTTTTTCAAAATTAAATTGATTTTGAAATCCCTTGCTTTATTTATTCAACTGGACATATATGTACACGACTTTTTTTTAAATTTGTTGGTACTATTCATTACTGACGGAAAGAAATGTCTTTCTGATGGACAAAAGCCAATAAACGTAAGTGGAATTGAAATTAATTCAATCAAGAACAGTTTATGGCAAGCAGCATCTATCTTGATTGAAAGAATGTTAAAAAAGTATGCTCCATGACTGTTCCTTCTTTTATTGAAACGCATATATTCAAATAAAATTATCGAAGATTAAAATAACTTAGAAATAATCATTATTACGTGTTTTTTGTCACTGATTTCATTGACATTTAAAAAAAAACCTTTTTAACTAAAAAGGGGAATAGGTATGAAAATAGGCATACATTTTTTTTATAAAAAACCCAAAATTCTTCTCAGACAATTTTTCCCTTTTAAAATATTTCAATTGTATGCACATCTTTCGATTCTACAACAACAACAATATAATAATAATCATATAATAATACTTACGCCGTTTATAAATACAGGCACCAATGATGCTGAATACGACAATACCGACACAACAATCTGCAAAAATAAAATTTAATTCAGTTACTTAGCAAAGGAACTGCAAAAAGTGGTTGACAACGATAAAGCTCCTCAACACTGTGATAAATAATGTTACATGCACTAGGTTACAAAAAAATCAAGTAATAGAAAATATTGTTATTATTAAAATACTTGGTTCTGGTTTAAGCATGTTTGCAAATCATATGTTTCATTTAAAGAAGTTTCCGATGGTAAAGCAGGAGATATTGTACAAAAAAATGTGGAGAGCAACGGTCAACAGATGACGGACACAGTGTCACTACAAAAGCTCTTTTCTGCTAAACAATCTTACAGTTTTGGTTATTTTATATAAGGTTATTTTATACTCGTTTCAGTAGAAAATTTTCTGAACTTGTTTTATATGGAATAACATGAAAATCAATGAAAGTCTGAAAGTCAGTATTGAATGACGGTTCAATACTTGTTTATCAATTTAAATGTATAAAATTATTTTATGAGAGTCTCAGTTGAGCATTATATTTCATTCAACGAGTTCAATAAGTTATGAAACTACATTGACATAATATTCATTTTTTATAGTTGAAATACTTTAAATTGACACACCTACAGTATAAACATTTAGTGAAGCCACACTTTTGTATAACGCAAATGACGTCACGTTAAAAACTGCAGGGCCGTGAAATACTTTTAACGGAGTCCAAAAAGCTACATGGATATTAGATAACAGTCTTTTTGATATTACATAAAGTCCTTAAAAATCTTAATGCAATGACATGAAAGTCAATAAGAGTCTATATATATGAAATAACAAGTTGTGTAAGATCCAATAAAACGTTTTAAATAATCTTCACTAACATAAAAGATAATGCCACCAAGGAACCGCTTCATTAGTTATATTGTCATTTTCATCATCTGCAGTAATGGTCTTAATACCTGAAAATAAATATGGAGCATTTATCAAATTTTTTGCCATAAACTCTTTACATGAATGAATAAATCAAAGACATGTTCTCAAGTGAATGGGTTTTTTCACGATCAATTACCTTTTTACTGACCAATCGATATTAATCCGATTGTATAAATTTTGCCAAGAATTGTATGCCAATATATATTTATGTCTAAATATGTTTTAAATAATCAGATTATTGATTGATTGTTTGTTATTGTTTTTCTGAGATTAGGAAACTTCAAGCTTGGTTAATACTGCAAAATGATTGTTTTCTAATTTTGAATTTTTGTGTCGAGTCTACATAGTATTGGTGACATAAATGACAACTTCTCTGTCCTCTGTCTGTCTTTATGTCTGTCCAGATAAACCTCCAATGGTCTATGAGTTATTCCGTCCATAATCTTAAATATAAAGAAAGAAATCTCATACATCGACTGGTTACGTGGTAATTTACTGGTTTATGTGGAAAGTGCCACATAAAGATAAGAAAAAACACATAAACCCAAAATGTTGGTACGTTCGCCCGTCACAAAATTTGTCCGAACTCCTCTAAGACTTCTTGTGCAATTTTATCTTAAAGGGACTCCACTGAGGTTTAAAGGTCTTAAAACATAACTGTTTACATTTGAATTTCTTACATAAATGAGCTAGGGCACTTTAAACAGAAATGTATGCAAAGAAGTGAAAACATATACTTTGAAATAAATTGGAAATCTTATTTTTATGCTTTTCTTAGTCCTATTTGAGTGAAAAGCGTTTAAACGCTTTTCATTTTGGGTCGTTTTTTACAATTTGAATACTTATTGTGGAAAAAAATGAAGTGCGAATGATTTGAAATTTTGCACAAAGATTAGTCGTGTAAACCTACATCAAATGGTACATTTATCTGAAAAAATATGTTCAGTCCCATCATGTCAAAATACCTCAGTGGAGTCCCTTTAACGTTACAGGAATGATCTGTATCAGGTGTAATTGTGCATGTCGTCGGCATTGCTCGGACCAAAGATTTTTGTAAGAGTTATGGCCCTTTAATTTTTTTTTTAAAGTTTGTCCGGACTACTCCTGTTATACCACTAAATTAAATTTGATTTAAATGAAACTATTTGGTCGAGTTATGACCCTTGAATAAAATAGTGTTTTTCGTGTTGCTAGATACACTGAAGATTGTCTGGATTTCTCTACACAATCAATACAAAGTCTAGTTGTGAAAATCATCGGTATTTTCAGTTAATTTTTTTTAAACATAGATATGACCCTTTAATGATTTCTATTTTTAAAAATTGTCCGCACTACTCCTCTTATACCACTTATGCAATTGTAAATTCAATGAAATTTTACATGATTAATGAGTACGTGCACATATTGCACGGGTACACAGAATTCACACAGCAGATACAATGGCCACAATAAGGCGACACATGTGACCACTGATCCTTCTTATATATATATATATTTATTGTATTTCTCTTGATTTTGTACTTGACAGTGTCAAATTTATGAAACAAGATTACTCTGATTATTTTAAAGTTTAAAAGTAATATTCCTCTTTATATCACGTACTTGTCCTTCCTCTAAAATTAGTTGTATTGATGCCTTCGGTTGACGATTGTGTTGTGCTGATAAGTGATGTCCCCTGTGTTAAAGTTCTGTCAGTGGTAGTAGTAGAGATATTCACAGAACTCCCCCTATTAAGATAAAACTATGAAGGCTTTACACAGAAACTTTAAAAAAGCACCAAACGGCATAAAACATTGAATGCTTACGATTTCTTTTTTTATCTTGAATAAAATCAAACAGTTACATACAAAACTCAGCTTATTATTATTTATGAAATTCAATTTATTCTAATAGGAAAATAGCTTAGTTTTAGACTCTTTAATATCAGAACCCATAAAATAAGAGGAGTTCAGCTTGACATACACTAGTTTTAAGATACTATAGAAGAAAATTTTATTATATTAGGATATAGAAAATATATGGAAAGTATATAAAACACAAATAAAACATTCGAATAATGCTATGTCTGAAATTATTTACATTGGTCTACAAAGGAAGTCAGGAGGATTTCTGTCAAAACCATGCTCGCATTCACTTACACAGAGTCCATCTGAAAATGATAATTGATTTAGGCGCGATAACAATAAAAAAAAATATTGATTTTATAATTAACATAAAAAATAAGCATATTAATGTAAACATCGACATTCAAGAAAAAAGTTAAACATTGTACTTATCTTTGTTTTGTTTTGTATGAAATGTGAAAAAAAATTTTTTTAGAGAATATTTTTAATTGTGCTGTATCATCTGAATATAACAACTCAAATTGCATGAAATAAAAAATACCAAATTAAGTCGAAATGTGTAAACGTTAAACGAGCAGTAACTATGGGTAATAGAGCAGTACTGCTGAAAACCGATTCATTATCAGAAAGACGTAGTAAGTGGTTTACATGCAAATGATCTTCTGGACAAAATTTACCTGGAAGAGGATATTTGCCTTTCTTACATGGGTTACTTTCGTTTATATGCATGCAGATATCCGAAATAACAATAACATCTTCGTCATAGTTCAAATTGAACTTTCCATCAGGGTTAAAGTATCCTTTTTTGTAATTACAGTAAACATAGGTTGGGCTTATATTATCTCCTCTAGAGCTCAATACAAATCTTTCATCCATATCAGCAACATCCATATGCCTGTATGAGCATGCATTAATACATTCAGAATCGATAGGCTGATACATGCCATTAGGACAGTTCACCTCTTCAAGATGAACAATATATCGGTCTGCAACATCCTGACTTGCTTTTACCCATACTTTCCGGGAATTTAAAAATTCAAAAAAAGGGTTTGGGCTTTAATGTTATAAAGGCTATTTTAAAAAAATTTTTTTAAAAAGGGGAGGGGCCCTTAATTTAATTTTTAGTTTTTAAATCAGTTACCTTCAAAAGGTTTTAAATTCAAAAACGCCTTTTTAAAACAATTAAATTTTAAAAAATAAAAAATAAGGGGGAATATTTTAAAAACCTTTTTTTAATTAGTTTTTTTAAAAATTTTTAAAAAATTATTTTTAAAATTAAATAAAGTTTTGGGCTTTTGGGGGAAGGGAAGTATTATATTTTTTTTTACTTTTTTCAAACCCTTTTGGGGAAAAATTTTTCTTATAAAACCCGTTTTCCTTTTGGCTTTATACGGGTGCGCGGGGCCTGAATTTTCCAAAGGAAATTTTTTGAAAAAAAGGTTTCCCTGTTTTTTTTTTAAATTTAGTTTAAAAAAAAAAAGCAATTTGGGGAAACATGTTTTAAATAGAAAAAACCAAAAAAAAATGTAGGAAAAATTTTTAAAAATTAAAATCGGGCCCCTGGGCACAAAAAAAATTGAAAAAAACCTCGGCGGGAAGGTTTTTTTCCCTTTTATTTTTTTTGGGGGCCTTTTCCCTTTGAAAAATTTGGGTTGAATTTTTCCACCCCCCAAAAACTATTTTCTTTTTTTTTTTTAAAGAGGGGGGGCCCAAGTTAAAAAAACTTTTTTTCCCCACGTTTTTTCCGTGGGGACTTTTTGTTTTTGTAAGGGCATTGTTTTTAGAAAACAACTTGAAAATATTGGCTTGTTGTATTTAAAAGGATACAAAAACTTAAAAAAAAAAAAAAAAATTTATTTAAACCCTTTTTTTTCAAAAAAGATATATTTTTCCCTTTAAACCCCAAAACCAAAACCAGGGGCCCCTTTTTTTTCATTTTTCCGGGGAAAAAACGGGGATTTTGGGTTTTAAATTTTCCCAAAGCCCCCGGGAAATTTTTGGATTTTTAAAAAGATCTTTTCGTTTTTTAAAGCAAATTCCCCCCTTTTAGGGGCCCAAAATTTCAGGTGAAAAGAAGAAAAAACCTTTTTTGGGGGACTGAAAAGGGATGGGGACTTTTAAGGGTTTTCGTCCCCCCGCTTTTAAAGGTTTTGCGGGCCCAACTTGCTCCACAAAAAGAAAAAACTGACCCCCCCCAAAACCCAAAAAAACGGGCCCATGGAAAAAAAAAAATCCCATTGGGACCAAAAAATGAATTCTACAAAAAATCGAAAAAAAAACAAATTCCCTTTTAAAAAAAAAACACCAAAAAAAGTTTTAATTTTTAAAGGGGATTACTTTTGGTTTTTATCAATTTTATTTGTTCAAAAAAACCCCAAGTGTTTAAAAAGCAGGGGGACAGTTTTTTGTAAGAAGGGGTTTAAGGGGAATTTACCCGGAGGCTGTTTTTTTTTAAAATCTAACGTTAAAAAAAAAATTGATATAAAAGGTTTATTTGTTTGTTGGGGGTTTTAAGATAAAATTTTTTTCATCGGGGTGATTTTTAAAAAAAACAAAAAAAACAGTTTTTCTTTTCCATTTTTCCCACAAAAAACCAAAAAAAAAATTTTTCTTTTTTTATTTTTTTGTTTAAAAAAACATTTTTAAAACCCAAAATTTTCCCTTTTGAAAATTAATTTTAAATTTTAAAATCTGTTTTTCCACTGGTACCCCTTCTTTTTGGGTTCCCAATTGTTTTGGGTTTCAAATTTTTAAAAAACCCAATTTTAACAAAAAACGTTTTTGGGGTTTAAAAAAATAATTTCGAAAAAATTTCCAAACTTTAAAAATTGGGGGGTGATATTATTCATTTATAAAAAAAAAAAAATATGAATAAATTCTTTGGTTTTGATAAAAAAAAAAGGGGAAAAAAGGGTTCCAAAATCTTTCATCCATTTTTTCTTTTTACTTTATTTTGCGATTTTTTTTTAAACCCGGGGCCCCTGTTTTTAAATGTAAGCGGGTCCCCCTTTTTTAAAATTTGGTGTTTTTTTCAATAAAGAGGAAAAAAAAAGTTGTGTTTAAATTAAAAAAAGGGATATCATTTTTAATTTTTTTAAAGCCCCTTTACCCCTTTTTTTAAAAAAAAGGAAAAAACTTTTTTGGGAGGATTGTAAAAAAAAGCCCCAAAAATTTTAAGTTTTGGGAACAAATGGAAAAAACTTTTTAAAAAAAGGGATTGGGGGCCATTGATGGCCCTGGATCGTTTCCCCCTTTAAACCAAAAAACCCGGCTTTCCCAAAAACAATGCTTAAAAACCCAAGCACCCAGGGCCCAAAATTTGTTTGACAACTGAGCCCAAAACTTTCCCTTTAGTGTTTTTTTTAAAATTTTTTTTTCCATTTTGGGGGGAAAAAATTGTAAACCTTTAAATTTTTAACGGTTTGGCCCCAATATTTAAAAACCCTTTTCCCTAAAAATTTTCTTTAAAAAAAAACCTTTTCCTGCCCAAATTTTTTAAAGGGGAAATTTGGATAAAAAAAATTTGCAGCCATTTAAAAGGTTAAAAAAATTTTTCTAATATTTGGGCCCCTTTGGCCCCAAATTTTTGGGGACCGGCCCTTTGGGGAACCAAATTTTTCTTCGCACTTGACCCAGAAATAAATTCAAAAAAAAACCTTTCCTGAAAAAAAATTTCCGGGAAATTTGGTTAAAAAAAATGCGGGCCCAACAAAGAAGTGTTTTAAAAAAGGTTTTTTTCTTTTTTAAAAGCTCCTTTTTTGCCCTTTAATTTTTTTATTTGAGGGGAAACCCCATTTTTTCGAACCCCAATTTGTTTTTTTAAATTTAGTAAAAAACTTTTAAAAAAATTTTTGGTTTGATGACCCCAATTAAAATTTGTGGATTTGCTGGGAACTTTTTAAAAAAAACCCAAAATTGTTTGCCCAGGGGAAACCGAGGGGAACGGGGGGGGGGGGGACTTTTACCCCCTACCCCACTAAAAACCTTTTCCCCCTTTAAACCCCCTTCTTTTTCGGGTTAGCAAAAAAAAAAGGGGCTGGGGGAAATTTGGGAAATTTGGGTTTTTTGTTAAAAGGGGTTTTGCCATACAAAACTTGGGTTTTTAATTTTATTCTTGGGGTTTGATGGTTTTCCATTCTTTAAAAGTTTTTTCAAAAAGGGGCTTTAAGGGGGCATTTTATTGCTCGTAGGATACTTAATCATGCCAAAATGTCATCAAGAACAGTTTTGCATGTAGAAAGAATGTATTTTTTAGACTGTAAAGATGAAACAAAAAAATTAAGAGACGATATTTGGTGATTGGAAATTTGGATGAATAGAAGTAAGTTTTCTTCTTTTTATTACTTTTGACATTTAAGCTATTTATCAATTTCAGCTTTGCTTTTCTCTAAACAGCCGGACACTGTCAAAATTGTCAGCAAAAATAAAATTGAGGTTCCACATGGGGAAAAAGTAGTTTGGTCATTGAAAAGTGTGAAATGATATTTTGATAATTTTCACTGTGAAATTATCAAATATATTGTTCACGGATAAATCAGTAATCCGCTGAAAAGCTTAAAATAAATCAGAATATTGTGTTTACCTTAAAAAGCAAGGGAAGCAATCCGTTTTTATGTTTTTTCTTGTAACCGTCATTTTCATTATATTTCCTCTTCTCCAATTTCTACAAAGTAAAAATAAAACAAGATATGTGTGTATATATCGCCAATTGTGTGTAGTAAATTCATTCAAGTCTGTGTATCTTTGTTTAACATTGAAACCATGAAGACCGTCTATCACATTGTTGGAGCTGTTACATCACCTATTATGACATAGTAGTACAAAAAAAATACGCAACTGTTCTTTGTATATTTATGATTGATAGACATGTATTACATATAATACTCGGAAATAAAAAATATATCACCTAAGTTATTTGCCCAACAGGCAACAGTATTAGACCTGGCATAACTAATATTGCAATAAAAAATTCAGTCCAAAAGAAATGTGTATTCATGCAAGAATTGATATTCATTGCACAGTTGCTGTTGGAAAAAAACGAGTTAGGTAATAGTTTTAACTTCAATAATAAAATTCAACCTGTAATGCAGGAAAATCACAAACCTCTTTGTTTTTTGTACGGTTGCGGTTTTCAAGTATATATATTTTTTTCTTTTGATGAGTTTGGGTTGACGTAATATTTTCTATAGGGTTTTTTACAGCTGTCCTCTCTACAAGAAAATTGAGATTGAAGTTATTATATAGAAACGTTTTAAAATTACATGGTATGCTAGATATTCACACAACCATAAAGCAAAGAAAATATTAAAGTTGATTAATTAGTGCGAATTGAAACACGGTAACATTATGTCTTTAACAAGAGAAGCAACCTGGTTTTAATGTATTTCATGGATATTATTGTTATCACTTAAATAGTTGTCTATGTTTTTTTATGATTTATGTAATCACATATTTTTGTCTTACAGTCTAATTAATCTATCTTCACATACGGCCTAGGCAGTTCAATAACAACGAAGGCTTAAATGATGCAAGTCCTAAAGACTTCATAATAATAATTTAAAAAAGAGTTTTCAGTTTCGAAAACCATTATGTACTGCAAACAAAACTACGAGCCGAATTTAAAACTGACCATAAAACACATATTTTTAACAATTACGAGTACAATGTAGTCATCAATTAACATCACACACACACGCGCACGCACACACATACTTATACCTGCTGGAGTCTTGATAATAGTTTGTGCTGTACATCTATCGTCCAGGTACACATGACGAGTGTTTTTTGGTTGAGCTTCATAAAAATTGCTGTCGCTATTCCTGGTTTGTTTTGTTGAAATGCATTTCTTAAAGTCACAAAAATAGCTCAATAAACCTAAACATTGTTGTTGCTTTTTTATGAAAAAGTTTTTAATAAAATAATTCTATTTTTAAAACGTTTATTTGCCTCCAAAAATTGTGCAATTTAAATTTTCTTATGATATTGAATAGTCAATAATAAATAGAAAGTAAATGTCGCATAAGCTTAGTTTTAATTAGAATAAATATTCACACGTACATACGTACATTAAGATAATTATGTGTGTGAGTTTTTATTTTAATTTAATTTATTAATGCCAATATGTAGTTTTTTTTTCATACTTCTTTATGCGTGTGATTTTGTAATCAAATTGTGGAAAATACAGTGTTATTGTTGCATCTATCAGGTTAAGTATCTTTTGTCTATATGATTGTTGCTGACCCTTATTGTTCGTGGCTTCAACAGCTTGATCTGCTAACTGTAAGGGTTATAATCATATGGAATTAGCTTTTCTCTTCGAGTGCGTGCTTTAAAATAAAGCTTTAAATATATCTCATTGAAAGAACATTTAACTTTCTTTAGTAAAAATTTGAATATCATATGAATATATTATATGTACAGAAAAATCGTAACATTAAAATGATCAGTAAATGAAAAATATAGGCTCAAAGAAAAAGTTTATATCGCTGAACATTATATAAATTTGGTATCAAGATTCTCAGTATTTTTTTTTATATTTACATCTTTGGGAAAGTTGTTGCATTTGAATCGTTGTTTTCAAAAAATAAATTCAAACCTTTGATATCATATAACTGTTCAGAATAATAACCGTTTTCAAAAAGAAATTGATATTCTGTGAGATACATAGAAGCTAAAATACATTCCTTTCATTTTCTTCAACTTTACCTTGTAATGTTGACGTTTTAATTACTATATAATATTTGTACCACAATTAGAATACTATATTTATCACTTTTCACTAAATATCAAAACCCTTATTCAAATTCCAATTAAACAATATCAAGAATAATAATGTATAAAAAAAATGATGATTGAACTGGTAAGTAAATTATTTGGATTGCAAATTGTAAGTTTGTTCAAGTATAAAATGTAGCCTTAACACGCATGTCTTAGTTATTAGTTAAGTACTATGAAATCCTCGTCTGGAGACAGAAATATTACATTTCCGGTCGCACAGTGTAAGCAAGTTAATTACCTGATTAAATACTTACGTAAACTTTAGGTCCGTCGCCATGAATAAGCCTGCATAACTTTCGAAAGACACTTTCCATCTTGAGAACGCAGGCGACAAGCAAAGGGATAAGAACACTTCGTATAACAATATTTTGATATCTAAAAAATGTGAATGTGTATAATATAATTATAAAAAATATATCACAAGCAACATTGTACATTCGATATACATATTTTAATATGTAAATCTACCACTGAAATAAAATTTGATTTTTAACCATTTCAAGAATAAGCAGTGTATTATGTGTTATCAACTACATACAGCAAACATATTGTTTAAAATAACATTTATATTTTTATAATATACCTTTATACACTAGTGTGATTATATAGATTGAATATCTTTTTTTAAGTTTATTATTCCTAATTATTTCCAATTTACGGGTAAAATTTCAGTACATTTTGTAGTTGCTTTAGTGTAACCCTACAAAGTACATTATCGCGTAGATGTAAGAGTTGCTACCCTTGCGACCTTAAAACCTTATTTAACCTTATTGAAATAATGATGTATTATTAATTTATATGGCAGCATTTCTCGTAATATACTTTGCATTTACCAACATACAATTTGAAATTTAGTGTGCCGTTTCTTGTTTAGAAAGCGCTTTTACTAAATATAAACCAAAACTTGGATTCATTAATTGTTTCCACTTGTAACGATATTACTTTATATTAGAAGATTACAATGCGTGAATATTGTCAATTATTGTTGTTCTTGACAATATTACCACCAAGCAAGTGCTCGATCAAACCATTATTCAGCATTGACATGAGTCTATAGAGTTTTTAAATGATTCTATTGATTTCGCACGAAAACGACGTTTTTACCTTAGCCTCACAACAATGGAGAGAAGCAGTGGATTATATATGCGTTCTACTAGATCAAATTTTAAAGAGTGTCTCATTTTACAGAGTATTGATAATGTACAGCATACAGCTATGAATACAATCTAGAGTTACACCGTTTTACACACATACTTGCCAAAAAAGCAGATGAAACTAAAAAAAACTGACTGTTAAAACTTGACGACAACAGAACCATAAAACTGGTCTTTCTAATAGATTCAAACAAGCGTCGAAACAAGTAGTGCAGTGATATAAAAGAAGTCCTCTCAAATCAGGGTATTATGAATCACCTAAATAATAGTGTTAGATAAGATTCGAACACATTTCATAGACTTCTTCAGTATATTTTGGTCTGAAAATATAATAAATGTCCCCTTAAGAACATACAGGCAGTTTAAGTCCTGTTTTGCCCAGGAGAAAAAGTTTAACTTAACTTTAAAGGGAAAAAACGATTACGCTAAGCAAAATTGAGCTACGTTATATTCCCTTTATATAGTAAAAAACCGGAAGATATAATGGTTGAAAGTATTCCGTATAAATTGCAATTGCATTACACATAACGCAAAAGGAAGTCAGATCCTTTTGTTCACAGAGTTCAGTGAATATATCACGTATATGACAGCCAGAAAAGTACATCAAACAAACGGGCCATGAAAGCCCTGAGTCGCTCACCAGAAACATGTTGGAAATTATTTTTCAAAAGAACTTGTTGAAAAGCAAGTCCAGCACTTTCGGCAAGTTCAACTCAACTTTAACTTGCCCCTCTAGTAATATTCTTTCACAACTTTAGCTTTATTTCTTCATAATAAACAATAGGGCCACTAAGATGGCCCTAGATCACTCATCTAACACATCATTTCATTATTCACTATATAAATTGAAATATTTTGCTCTAATATTTTTGAAAGGCTTTGTTGAAAATATGTATGTTGCAAGTGTGTTCCTATGAGACTATGTAGAATAAATGCAGAATAAATGACCACTAGAGCCGGATTAATTTTGACTGGTCAATTTTTTTATAACTCTTTTGAATGAAAAAACAAAATGTCACATGCAAAACATGTAAAGTGTAGATGTTTGAAGTTTACAGTATGGGACAACAAAATTTTTATACATTCTATATGGTAACATAACTGTACCTCAAAAAAAGAGAGAATAAGTCTAACATTGTAAAAAATATAAAAAGAAGGACAGTTGATATTAAAATTCAATTTAGCATAAGAAATTACACACCTAGTCCAAATTTCAAGTTTGTATGTGGACAAAAACACAAAAATGAAGGTTTAATTATATCAAAAATATCAAAAGTAGCTCAGTTGATATCAAAATTCATTTCGGCATCAGAATTTACAAACCTGGTCCAAATTTAAAATCTGAATGTCAAAATGCAAGAAAGTAGGTCAAATGCTGTCGATAATACCTAAAGTAAGTCAGCTGGTATCAAAATTGAATTCAACATCAAAAAATGCACAAATCACACCCCTGGTCCAAATTTTAAGTCTGTACATAAAAGACAAAAAAGTAGGTAAAGTGATATCAAGTATATCAAAGGTAGGCCAGTTAATATCAAAATTCAATTCAGGATCAGAAATTTAACACCTTGTCCAAATGTCCAGCAGGTACATCAAAAATGACAAACTAGGTCAAGCAATATCAAATTATTATATCAAAAGTAGTCAATTGATATCTTAATTCAATTCGCATCAGAAATTACATTCCTGATCCAAATTTCAAGTCTCTGTACATCAAAAACAAGGTGCAATGGTTTCAAAAATATCAAAAACACCTCAAGTGATGCCAAAATTCAATTATGCACATGAAACTCAGGTTCAACAGTATGTCCCAAAATTTATTGAAATGTGCTTTCTCCAAGTTTAAATCCAATTCGACAAAAAAAATGAAAAAAATACAATTTTTAATAACATTCAATACAAAAATTGAGCATACAAACCCATCTTTGTTAAACAAATGTAATGTTTCTTTAGCCTATTTTTTTCTGGTTAATGACCTACAACTGACCTTACAATGATGCAATATGATGTCCAAATTCTAGAGCTGAAATATATTTACGCATCATATACTGGTCATGACATTAAGACTTTCTCCAAGCCATTGAACCTCTTTTGGAAAAATTCCATATCATACATATATGTACCCATTCCAACATGAGTTGTTTCCCTTTCATTATGAAAAGATAGCCTATGATAGAAATTTATTGAAATTTATGAAATTCTAACTGAAAATGTCTAATTTGGATAAAAGAATGAATAAACTATGTATGGGGAGCTGCAAATCCTATTATTGGCCAAGTAAAGTTGGTCTTTTCTATATATAAAAAACAAACTTTTTTTAATGACACTATCATTATATTTATATTGTCACCTATAGTGTGAAGAGTTTAAAACATAACATATCTACTTTGTGTGAAGTCAAAACACGTTTTTTTATATTTATAAAGAGACTGTGTATCCATCGTCAATATTTTCTAATATTAAATTTGAGCATACAATATCTTTAAACTATAATTTGAAGAAATGACATGACCTGGGGCATTCAAGCTTTAGCTTAAACAGGGCCAATCAAATTAATATGAACAAACTTGATAAAAGACTACCTAAGAATGCTACAGACAAAGTTTGGTGATCATCCATCAAATATTTCAGTAGGAGATGATGTTCAAATGTTTTTCTATATTTAGCTTAAGGTGCCTCTAATAGGGGCCAATCAAATAAATATGAGCAAACTTGATAAAAGTCTACCTAAGAATGCTACAAACAAAGATTTGTGATTTAAGTAGGAAATGATGTTCAAATGTTGATCTATTTTTAGCTTTGGATGCCCCTAAAAGGGGCCAATCATATTAATATGAGCAAACTTGATAAAAGACTACCTAAGAATGCTACAGACAAAGTTTGGTGATTTCAGTAGGAAATGATGTTCAAAGGTTAATTTTTTTTAGCTTTGGAGGCCCCTAAAAGAGGCCAATCAAATTAATATGAGCAAACTTGATAAAAGACTACATAAGAATGCTACAGATAAAGTTTGGTGATCATCCACTCGTCGCCCTAATTCCATAATGATGTAAGTCATATTTTTACCATTTTGAGAAAATCGACTTCAAAGTTTTAACAGGTTATATCTTCACACTTACTCAACCAATTTTAATATAAAATACATCATAGTGGTGCAAAAAAAAAAAAAACCTGCAAAAAAAAGGGGGGGGGACTGTTTACCCAAATTCTTTAAATTTTAATTTTTTAAAAATTAAAAAATTTTGGGGGGCAAAAACCCCAATTTTTTTTTTAAAAAAAACTATTTTTTGGGGAAAAAAAAATGACTTTTGACCGGGGGGGCTTTTAAAGGGGTTTTTAGTTTTTAAAAACCCGGGGCCAAAATAAAAAAATTTAATTTTAGGGAAAAAAAAATTTTTGAAAAAAAAAAGGGAAAAAAAAACCTTTTAAAAAAAATGCTACGGGGCCCAAAATTTTTTGGGGTTTGTTTTAAATCCTTTTCCCAAAAATTTAATTTTTCCAGTTGGGGGAAAGGTTTGATGTTAAAAATGTTTTTTTATTTTTTTTTAAGGTTTTTTAAGGGGGGGCCTCAATTTTTTGGGGGCCCCAAATAAAATTTTAAAATTTTTTTTGAAAAAAAAAAATTTTAAAAAAAAAAGGTCAAAACCAAAGGGGAATTGTTTTTAAAAAACCAAAGATTTTTTTGGATTTTAATGGGGGAAATTTTTTTGATGTTTAAAAAGGGAAATTTTCTTTTTTTAAAAGCTTTGGGGGGGGCCCCCTTTAAAAAAAGGGGGGGCCCAATTTTTCCATTTTTAATTTTTGGGAGAAAAAAAATTTTGTTTTAAAAAAAGGACAAACCTTTTTAAGGGGAAATTTTTTTTACGGGGAAAAAAGGGGTTTTTTTTTTGTTTTTCCATTGGGGGGGAAATTTTGGAAGGGTTTAAAAAAAAGGGGGTTAAAAATTTTTTTTTTTTTGGGGGGCCCCTAAAAAAAAGGGGCCAAAATTAAAAAATTTTTTTAAATGGGGGGGAAAAATTTGAAAAAAAAAGGGGACAAACCTTTTTTAAAGGGAAAGGGTTTTACGGGTTTTTTAAAAGTTTGGGGTTTAAAAAATTAAAACTGGGGTTTTCCCCCCTTAAATTCCCTTTTAATTTTTAAAGTAATTTTCCAATTTTTTTTTTTACCTTTTTTAAAGGGAAAAAATGGGGACTTTAAAAAATTTTTTTAAAACGGGGTTTA